TCACTTTTTAGTCAAAAAATCAAAATCAATTTCTTAAAGATTAGTAAAATAATCAAATGATTATATTTTGTCTACATACTGAAAGTAGGGAGAGAGTCTCTCCTTACTCCATATGAGATGCAATGTCATGACGTCACGTAGAGATGGCTAACAAGATATAACTAATTGTATTAGACCAGATGAAGCGGAATAATAATGAGCTAATTCATGTTTTTTATATAATAAAACTATTTATCATATAATTATCTATGAAATACCTATATTTTCTCCATTTCGTAAACTTGATATCTTCACTAGTGAAAATAACATGTTATTTTCACTAGTGAAAATAACACATTCGAGGTTTCTCTATATAGTGAAAGTAAGAAAAAAGCTATTTTTACAACATAATTTGCTTTCGTATACAATTATATGATAAATAGAATATAACATGTTCRCTTGGAGATACGAATTTTATCTTCTCGTGTTGAAAATCTTGCTACGCTCACTCGTGAGAGATCTTTTCAACACTCGAAGATAAAATCCGTATCTCCGCGCGCCCATGTAATATCCTCTATTTATCATATTTTTTACTACTAATTAAGATATAATAACCAACACTATTTGTGTCACTGCTTTATTGACTATCAAGAAAAATATTTAACTATATCTATATTTAGAAACTCATATTTTTCCTAAACAAAACAAAATATATAAAATTCTCAATATATAATAATAATAATAATAATAATAATAATACATTATATAATTCATATTGAAAAATGCCTGATATTTGATGAATGGATTATTATTAGGCTAACATATATTTCAATTAATTTATTTTGAAACATTTTAAAATGTTTACATAAAATTTTTACACATTTTAAAATAATGTGAACATAGCAGTTCATATTCAGGGACTAAATCACACTTTCACAATCATGGTTTATTATTGGCAGAGCTATGATATGACAAAAATGAATCAGCCGTTTCAAACCTAGACTGAAGCATTCCACCTAACACTTTTCTCCCGTGTGATCAAATAGCTAAACTCTGTACATTCAAATGAATGTTAATTACTTATTTAAGTCCTGGAGATAAACTGTTAAAGGTTGAAAATGTCTGAYAACATTAAATGTTAATATATTAGCTTTCTAGTGATCCATTATATAATTTCAAATTGTAAAAAACTAGTTATTTGAAGTCTTCGACTTAATAAATGTATTTGGAAAATATTCAAGTAAAAAAGGTATGCACATTTATGCATAAAATTTAATTATTATAATCTCTCTAATTATTTAGGAATTGCGAGCCTTAACTCCAGTATGAGTAACTCCCACAGTCATCTCTCGCATCTTTTTCTTGTGTCTTGCAAAGATTTATGGGATGGATGAAGTCATTTTCATTCTCTACTTTGCATCCCACAATGCCTTTTAMATGCCAGAGAAGATGGCAACTMGGGTCATGTTTTGTACTCCAATGAACAATTAGTTTATTTGACATTGTTTGCATAGAGTTCGATTGCCACAAGCTATGYTTAATCATTGCATGGTTGCAGGAMAGGTAGTGAYGGCATATTTGGTATAAATTTTGCTCTTAATTGTTCAGCTAGTTCCATCATTTCTGGATCATCTTCGGCAAAGAAATGAATCATCTGGGTAAACTTTAAAACTCCTGAAAATGGCAGTATAAACTTTTATCCTCTTTTCATCACCATAACTAATATATTAAGGGGTGGACTAAATCAGGAAGGATTTCAAGATTGCTTAGAGTAAAGCACTATTGTATTGTCTAGTTAATTTTGTATTTCCCACACTCCCCCCTCAAAAAAAAAAGAACAATTCTAATGAATAATTCTAGGTGTCCACCATTCACATGGTCACAGATAGGAAAATCTAGTCCATGGGGATGGGAAGTCATTGGTCTAGATCAACCAATCAGATCACTCCATTTACTTGTGTCCAGGCTCCAACATATACACAGTCAACATACAATATAATAATAATAAAAACAGCCACCCTCCTTTGCAGGCACTGCTCTTGCTCTTAGCTTGGGAACAACTAAAAGTGACAGGTAGGAGGACTATCACCTTGCTTGAATTTGATATGAGGCACAAAGAATGAGATTGAGTTAACTAAATCACAAGTTAGAACAAATCTATTTTAAAAATGGGGTCACRTTGCAGCGCCAAAGAATATTGCTKGCAATTGGTTGGCTCAACACAGAGTGACTCTAAAGAACGAGGCATAAACAATAGAGCCTATTGCTCTAGCCAGCCAATCACAATGACTGTTATTTAGAGCTGCAAGACCTCTGGTCACGTCGCAGTGCCAAAGAACATTGCTGGTAATTGGTTGTCTGAACACAGAGTAAATGAATATAATATACACCTTCAGTTGTATTGAATCCATGTTCTTTAATGACACTGTGTTGTATTTCTGTCGCCACAGGGATTATATTTTGCATCATCACAACCAAATCATTCCCAGAATCCTCATGGATCTTCCTCAATCTCAATTGGTTGCCTGGTGTGTTATATGCACTTATAACATCTTTTACAACACCTATTATTCAAAGATATCTTTTAGGTATCTAAAAGGTTGTATAAATCACTATTTATCAAAATAAAACAAATTATATTTGCAATCCTACGTTGAATTACATCGCTCAGCACGATAACATATAAGCTTAAAGAGTTCTTTATTGACTTTGACCAAATGTTTTCTGTACTGTCAAAACCACTCACATTTAATTTGTTCTGCTGTCATACTAGGATTTCTTGTCTTTTGTGCCATTGTTATTCAGCA